CTATGGTAAAATCACCCTCAAGCCATAGAGTTTTGCCCCAAAACCAGAGCATTGCCAGTGTGATGATGTCACTTCTGCATGACGTCAGCACGTTGGGTTTGTGGGCAGGATTTCCCCAGCTGACCAGTGTTGGGCAGATGCCTGAAAACTGGGGGATCCCCTGCTCCCAACTGTAAGACAGAACCTCTGTCCCTGATTGTGTTTGCCCAGGCCAATTTGAGAAAACACACAAAAGCAGTCCTGTAGAGTTGGAAACCAAAAAATGGGGCCAGGACGCTAGAAGCCCTCCCACTGTTGCCCCCCCAAGCACCAAGAATACAGTACATCTCTTGTCCCAGACTAAGAGTTCCTATCGATACCTTGTGGCTAATAGCCACTGATGGACCTCTGCTTCATACGTTTATCTAATTCCCTCTTGAAGCCGTCCATGCTTGTAGCCACCGTCACCTCCTGTGGCAGTGAATTCCATGTGTTGATCTGTCTTTGGGTGAAGAAGTACTTCCTTTTATCAGCAATTTCATTGAGTGCCCATGAGTTCTTGTATTGTGAGAAAGGGAGAAAAGTACTTCTTTCTCGACCTGCTCAATCCCATGCTTCAAGAGGGGATTGGATCCAGTGAGCTTTAGGGTTGCCAGGTCCAATGATCGCACTGGTGGGGGAGGGAGAGGGACTTTCTGAGAGTGGGGGCGGAGCGTAGCAACGTGCTGACGTCACACAGAAGTGACATCATCACATCGGCGATATTGCAAGGCGACGCTCTGGTTTTGGGGCAAAACTCTATGGTAAAACCACCCTCAAACCGTAGAGTTTCGCCCCAAAACCAGAGCGTTGCCAGTGTGATGATGTCACTTCTGCATGACGTCAGCACGTTGCGCTTGTGGGCAGAATTGCCCCAGCTGGCCAGTGTTGGGCAGATGCCTGAAAAACTGGGGGATCCCCTGCTTCCAACTGGGGAATGGCATCCCTAGTGGGCTTCCAAGGCATGAGTGGGGGCTTGAACATGGGTCTCCCAGATACTTGTCTGATGCCCTTAACCACTATACCACACTGGCTCTCTATAATGTTGGCTTGCCTTCGAGGCTCATTGTAAAGATTACTGGATAATGTATACTAAATGCTCTGAGCGCTTGAAAGCACCCTACAAATCCTAAGGATTACCGTTACAGTATTATCTTCCTGCAGTTTTAGGAAACTGCCCCAAATGGCATTCACCAAGTTTGAGCACTTGAAACCAGCCAAAATAACAGCCTGCCCTCCAGCCCCACCCTGATTCCAGACAAACTAGATTCTAATCCCTACCACCGGCAGGCAATACGTACACTTACCCCAGCGTATGTAAGTTAACAATATTTATCTGGAACAACTGCCACTTTTTAGTTCCATGATCACAATCGGTGATCTAGATTCCTTGATTTTAAGGAATCGAAAAGGAAAAGGAAGACTTTCCCCACCCACTCGTGAATCTCCTTGGTTCTGAAATGGTTGTTAAAGGGTTACTAAATCTGTGTGAAGGGATCTTGGGTGGGCACAGTCTTCTCTTCCCCCTCAGGTCAAAAGTCCTCCTTGCTCGGCTATTCAGGGCCCCATGTTCTGTGGCTTACGGTGGTGTCAGGAATGTCTGAGGCGGGAGCTGTTTCCTCCTAACTGCCACTTTTCCTTCCCTGCCAGCACAAACAAGGCTGCCTGGGCATGAGGCAAGACCTGGGCTCTTTGCCCGCAGGATTGGGCCAGAGGTCCTGGCTTGAACCAAACTGAGTTTCCCCCTCTCTCCCTTTTTTTCTGGGAACTATGGCGCCCCAGGACAGGGCCAAAGTGAGAAACTTTACCTCTTCCCTCTGTGTTTGAATTAGAGACAGTTGGGACCATTGTGAATTGAGACAAAAATAATTTCTGAAAAATTTTAAATTTAAAATGAGTGCTCTGTGATGCAGGAAATGGCTCCTCCTTAAAAGCATTAGAAGCTCATGGATGCATAGGCCCAGGTCTGGAAGAGGGCCATGGTATATTTAAAAACACTGTTTTCATTTTGGAGTGGTGGTTGTTAGGCTTCTTTTAGAGGGCCCTCCATCAATTAACATAATGTTTTACACGGTAACGTAATCAGGTCCTTGCCCCCAAGAACCATACAGTGTTTGAAATCTGATGAAATCGTTGGGCAGAAAATTCAGGACAGACAAAAGTAAGTATTTCTCCCCATACTAATACAAATGTGCAGAACTGGTAACAGATGGTGTTATGTACGTGGACCACCACCAGGGTCCGCGAACAGGCCAGAGCTTGGATCCTAGAACAATGGAAACTTCGGATCCTGGATCCCCCAGCCCCAACCAATAGCCACCTTGGCGGGACATTCAAACCCTCCAATGGGAGCGGGGGGGTTGCTGGGTGGATATGTATATAGTTGGCCCTGTTGGCCGTTAAAGTTAGTCTTTGTGTAAAGTACAATAAACATGTGCTACAGTATGTCGTCGTCCGAGTCCTCCATGCGGCGAACCCAGTACTTTTCAGATGGCAATGACCACTAGTATTGAGCATGCTTTTAAAAGATTCAGTTAGTCCATAGAGGCTGTATTTTAGGGTTGCCAGGTCCGTTGGAAGCGTTACTGGGTGGATGGGGGGGACATTTCGGGAGCCAGGAGTGTTGTCGTGCAACATGCCTGTCACCTGGAAGTGATATAGGCACGTCGGGGGTGACACTCTGGTTTTGGGGCAAAACTCCATGGTAGAATCAGCCTCAAACCATAAACTTTTGCCCCAAAACCAGAGTGTCCCCCCCATGTCACCCAACGTGCCTATGTCACTGCTGGGTGACATAAGTAGGTCGCATTTATTTCTGGCAACATCGCTGTTTTAGGAGGGGATTTCTTCACACTGGCCGGCAGCTGGCAGGAGCCCGCAAAACCAGAGTATCCCCCACCCCCAACTGGGGAATGGAGACCCTACTGTATCTACAAAACCTACTAGCCATGATAGCCCAAAAGAAGAACTTCCATGTACAGAGGCAGTACACCATGAAGAGAGAAATATCATTTGCTGCTTGATTAGCAGCTTGCTAGAGACAGGATGCTAGATCCTTTGCAAAGGCCTGCCCCAGATCCTGTTGACCAGATGTGCATTTGGAGTTCCATGTTGAAACTTAATTCCTAAGTGTACAGGATTGGGGCCTCTGTATGGGGAGGCTTAAGCCTCTGCCGGAGCCTATTTCCTAACCTGAAACAGATTCAGTTTTTTTGTCCCTGTGGTGGAACAGTCCTGCTCCAGCCTGCAGGCCCTTTCTGCCCTGCCTCTTATGTTTTCCCAGCACATTGAGAGGCTTTGCTCTCTCTGTGGTAACCCACCACCACCACCTAACCTTTGTAGGTATTGCCCACTGGGAGGGTTAGGACTCCCAACTTCTTCCAAGTTCTGAGGCCTTGCCTCTGAGTCTCCCACTGTCCAGCGCTTGGTCACAATGGGGACAGTTTACGGCTTTGTGTGCCCCCAGAGGAATAGCCACTTGCTAACTGACTGCCTTCCCCCTCCTGGCACTCCTTGTAAAATAGCGTGTCCGAGATGGTAGAGGTCTTTGTGGTACAGATAACCACTCCCAGGATCAAAAGTGATAAAATATTTATTGAAAAGAAAATGTTTAAGCATACTTTTTGCATAGCCCCAGACTGAACAAGGGATTTAAAAGAAATGGGTAAAATAGTTGCTGTGTCCCTCCCTCTATACATGCTCTATCTGTTGTTAAATATAAGGCAGGCGCCTTAGCTTAGAAAGTTACAGAGCTCTACAGAGTAACCATTACCTTGAAGGCTCCCTTGGGTGTAGGCCAGCACATGGCAATGGCCTCCTCCTCCAGACCTCAGTTAAGAGTTCTAAAAAACCCTCCTCCTTGCTGCAAGGAGTTTTTATAATTTCTCTTTTTCTCCCCTCACCCTGACCAGGTCTGGCTGGGTCAAAGAGTCCTTCTAGTCTTTAATACCTCCAAATATCTGTTCCCTGCTTGGAGGCGGGGGAGACTGGACCACCCTATTGTCTCTAGCTGGACATATTAGCATTTCTTAAGAGGTAGCTAAGGTGAGGCTGGAAAGCCATTGGACTGACTTCACCTTCACTGTGTGTTCTCTGCCCAGAGAGAAAAATCTTTTAAAACCTCCTGGTAAAGGTTTTACCCAGGTCAGACCTCTACCCAAATAATGCATTTCTTCACAGTCCCATTGGGGAAACTTAGGTGTAGCCCATCATGTATGAAATATGAAGATGGAGATGCCAGGGATCTGCATACTAAGCAAATGCTGTTCCACTGAGCCACAGCCCCTCCCCATGTGGTGTCACTCTACAACAGGGATCCTGAGCCTTTTCAAGCCGTCTGGCTGGAATTCTAACAGAGGGTGGTGGGTGCAAACACAAAACGTCTGTGACGGGAAGCAGAGGCAACCACAAAATGGCAGGGAGTGAGGTTATATATAACTCTAATAGTAGCTCTTCAATGTTTCAAGCAGAATCTCTGTTTAACAGGGTACCTTTAAACATAAGAGCCAGTTTGGTGTAGTGGTTAAGTGCGCGGACTCTAATCTGGGAGAACCGGGTTTGGTTCCCCACTCCTCCACTTGCAGCTGCTGGATGACCTTGGGCAAGCCATAGTTCTGGCCCAGCTGTTCTTGAAGAAGAGCAGTTTCTGCCAGAGCTCTCTCAGCCCCACCTACCTCACAGGGTGTCTGTTGTGGGGAGGGGAAGGGAAAGGAGTTTGTAAGCCACCCTGAGACTCCTTTGGGTAGTGAAGGGCGGGGTATAAATCCAATCTCTTCTTTTTCTAATCTGCCCTGCCAATCAGATACCCAGTGGCCAATCAGAAGCCCTGCTGGGCAAAAGACCCACCTCGCCCTGTCGACTTTCTGAAAACATTTGTTGGGTGCATCAGCCATAATAATAATAACAACAATAACAACAACCACAACAACTCATCAGAGCTTTGGTGTTTCTTCCTTGTTAGGTGACAACTTCTTGGGTAGCAACAGTGTCCTGGACCATCCAGACTGGCTCACCCGCCTTGATTCCCGGCTGCGGAACCAGGAAGAGGAGCTGACCCTGGTAAAGTCGGCCTTGGCGGACGCACTGCGGAGACTCAGCTTCTATGACCAGCAGATCCCTCTGCTCAGGAGACAGGTGCTTGAAGGTGAGGCCAGGGAGGAGTGCCAGAAGGGGGCGCTACCTAGGCCAATGGAACAGGCTATAACAGGGGTGGCCAAACTGTGGTTCGGGAGCCACATGCGGCTCTTGCACACATATTGTGCGGCTACTGGCAGGGCAGCTGGGGGAGCGAAGGGGAGGCATGCTTCCCCGATCAGTCTTCCCTTCCCCAGCCAGTTCCCCACCCTGGGTAGGCTTGAGGTGGGGGGAAGCAGAGAAAGAAAGCAACTTTAAAACTTTAAATGCATTCTCAAAGCACACACGCCCCGCCACCAGCCAGCTTGGAGAAGGCATTTGTCTCTTTAAATCCCTTCTCCAAGCCTAGCCAGCTGGCATGGGGGCATGGGGGGCTTGGAGGATGCATTTAGTTAAAGTTGTTTTCTTTCCACTTCTCCTCCCTCCCCCCATCTATTTGCTTTCTTTCCACTTTCTTTCTTTCCACCTTTCTATCTTTCTTTCTTTCTTCCCTCACTCCCCATCTAAAGTTAAATGTGTTCTCCAAGCCCCACCACACCGGCAGACTGGCTTGTCTTGTGGCTCTCAAACATTTGACGTTTATTCTATGTGGCTCTTATCTTAAGCAAGTTTGGCCACCCCTGGGCTATAAGGTAGCAAGGAGAAGTCTACTGTAGCTCCAGTTCCCAGAGAAGGGGCAAACTAGACAATGTGGTCTTCAACTGTCGCAGGTCCCCTGCTAGGAAGTCCAGTTCCGAATCAGATTGGGACCATGACATACAGAAATAAGGGGGTTCTGCGTGTAGCCCCCCCCCCACCCAGTGGGGTAATAGTGCCCCCAATGGGCAGAAAAATGGTGTCAGGGAGACAGAAACCCCTTCTCCCTGTCCAACTTTGACCTGATCCAAATTGAGGGCCCCGCATGCTTGGAAATGGTATTCCCAGCAGAGGACTCACAGCTGGAATGTGTCTGAAGAAATGATACTCAGACAGGGAAGAGTGTAACTAGCCCTTTGGCACTTAGCCTGTTGCAGCAAAACAAACAAAAAGAGCCTTTTGATAAGAAATATACTGCCACAGGCTCCTTGTTTCTCCAAGCAGTGAGAAGTTCTAGGGACAGCCTGGGTTGGTTCTCTCTGGAGGAGAAATAACTTGGAGAGTTGAGTCATTTTTCTAGTATTTACAAATTATAAAGTAGAAAACACAGGTGGAGGAAAGGGAATAATGCCACATCCCTCTTGCAGACCGGACACAGCATCATCCCTCTTGCAGACCGGACACAGACCGTCCGATACCTCCACTGGGTGCTGATAGGGATTGTCCCCCACCCTGTGTTTCTGTGGCCATAGATTAGGCATTGAGAATCAAGTGTAAGCCGCTCAGAGACCCCTTAGCGGGGGTTCGAGCGGGGTAATAAATCGAATAATAAATAAATAAATAAATAAAATCTCGTTTGGCCCTTAGAAATGATTTACAGAAAGGGAAATGATAGAGGTGAGCAGTTGCCAGGAATCCGAGTGTGAATCATGCACAGAATTGGGCCAAGGGTGCTCCTCTGTGTACTTAGCACTTACTGTGTGTGCCACTTCCTAATAATGATCTTGCGACAACCATTATTTGGGGCAGCAGAAACTTGATAAGTTATTAGTCAACATGTCAATTACTGGTAAAGTTAAGATCTTTGATCTGGTCTCTGTGCTTCACACCCATGGGATCTAGTGCGCATGCACTGGATCGATCAGCATTGTAGCAAGCTCTTTAATGGATTTTCGCGCCCAGTCCCTCAGGCATGCGCAGGAACCCCACTGCGCATGCCCAGAGGGGTGGGCGCGGACATCCCGCCAGTTCCTTTCTTACCGCCACGTTGGAAAGACCTTTTCTCCGTCGGTCTGATCAGTTCACTATTTTTGGCTATTTGCCTCACGGCTCTTTGGATTTTTTCCTCACTTTTCTCCTTTTTTCGTGATTATCCTTTGTTAACTACTAAACTTTAAAAAAAACCAAACACTTATTTTTCCTGAGGGGGGGGGAATTGTCGAGTTACCTCAGCTTGGCCTTTGGGCTCTGCCCCCTCCCCTCTCTCCCTTTTTTCTCTACTACTCTCCTGTTCTATGGAGAAAAAGTGGGGCTTTTTTAACCGGTGTAAAGGCTGCGGCAGTAAACTTGCACCGCGCGACCTCCACACCCTCTGTATTTTGTGTTTGGGAGAGTCTCACAGACCTGACTCTTGCCGGCACTGTGCTAGATTTTCAAACCAAACCCAAAAAAACCAAGCTGCGCGCCTCAAGGTGGCGCTCCTTGAATCCAGCTCTACATCCTTCCACAACGATGGACTCCGAGAGACCTTCGACCTCGACGGCTCCGGTATCAAGGCCTGCCTCTGACATCGTCCAACCGGCTCCGAAGCCTCCGGGATCGAAGGCGCAATCCTCTGCCTCAACACCGGTGAAGAAGAGGCCCAAGGCAAGTAAGGATAAGTCCGCAAAAAAAGGGTTCCTCTAATCCCCTCAAAGCGGCAAAGAAGGTGAAAGTAGCGGCGTCCGCACTGGGTAATGCCCCTATAGTGCCCCCCGCTCCATCGATATCGGAGACGCACACTCCTCCACCGATACCTACCATTCAACTTTTGGACTCTCCTATACAACAACTAGAGCGTCCCTATTCCGTCATCGACAATGCGGAGCTCCTAAGTTGCCCCATGGGTGCAGAGCCTTCCTTCTTTCCTTCTCCATCGTCGACATCGATACAGATCGGAATCGACACATTTCTACTAGCACGCAGCGTCAACCTCCACGTCTGCATGGCGAGACTGTCGATATCGATGAGAGAGTTTATAGGGATCATTCACAAAGGCGGCACATTCCTTTGTCTCCGAGATGTGATCGATCCAGAAGTCGATCCCCCAGAGTTTTTATCCCCCCACCACCATCGATATCTTAGGATCAACGCCAGTTGAGATATCTCTATGGCAATTATCCACCATCCATGCCCTGGCTGACTCCTGCGGGATATTTCGACTGGGATCGCTATTCGAACTACTCTGCTCACAGATCAAGGTCACCTTATAAATCGAGACCTTCAGCATCTCTGTCTCGACCTCCGGCTGAAAATCCTTCCCACCATCAAACGAAACCTCTGGGTCCTCCCAACCCCCAAGTCGTTCCACCAAAAATTTTAACTGCTCAAACGGAAGTTACTCCAGTCCTCGAATTGTCAATGGGGGTATACCATCAATTCCCTCCGGCTCAGGACCTCCTCTTCCTGTCCGACTCCCCTCTCCTACATCATGACATACCACAATTGAAATTAACACCGTGGAGAATAACATCGAAGGATTTTCCAACCGCGTAGCAAATGTTCTGTTGAACGCCAGAAAACCTACTACGCGAAGGTCCTACCATTATAAATGGCAAAGATTCTTCTCTTCTCTAGGTGATGATGCCCCTCGAGCCACCTCTGTGGGTCTCGAAAAAGTCTTCCAATTCCTCCTGTCCCTAGCTGACTCGGGACTTTCCCATTCATCGTTACGAGTTTATTTGGCCGCCCTTTCGGCCTACCATGTTCATGTTGCCGGATGCACACTGTTTTCCCATCCGCTTTCAAAATGTTTTTTAAAAGGTTTGTTGCATCTCTACCCTACTTTCAAAACTCCTGTAGTTCCCTGGGACCTTCCTCTGGTTCTTCACCAGCTCACGAGGAAACCCTTTGAGCCACTCGCGACTTGCGACATGAAACTCTGCGAGGAGAGTGGGAGAAATACTAGCTTTCAGACATGACATGCCATACCTGTCCTTTTTACCAGACGGCGTCCGCCTCGTACCTGACATCTCGTTCCTGCTAAAGGTAGTGTCAGAATTCCACCTACCGGCAGAGGTCTTCCTCCCAGATTTCTTCCCGGCTCCTACATCCTCAGAGGACAGACTGTTACACACCTTAGATGTGAAGCGTGCGCTCCTGTTCTACCTGAACAGAACCCGCCCAGCGAGACGTGACTCCCAACTGTTCGTCTCATACGCACCAGCAAGGCTGGGGACTCGCATCACGGCTCAGCGCCTCTCAAGGTGGATTGCGGGGCTCATCCACCTCTGCTACCTGATTGTGAAACAGCCATTGCCTGGCCCGATCCGGGCCCATTCAACCCGAGCTGTTGCTGCTTCCACTGCCTTCCTCCAGGAAGTGCCCCTGACAGACATTTGCAAAGCCGCTACATGGGCCACGCCTAACACCTTCGTCAGGCACTACACCCTAGACGTCCGTAAGAACTCTAATACCAACATGGGATGTCGCATTCTATCTTCAGCTACGCAGTAAAGGACCTGCCAGCACCCTCCTCCAGGTAGGCCACTGCTCGCTCATCTCCCATGAGTGTGAAGCACAGAGACCATGTCAAAGATAAACAGGTTGCTTACCTCTAACTGGTGATCTTCGAGTGGTCATCTGTGCATTCACACCACCCGCCCTCCTTCCCCGCTGCTGTCAGCTTCTACATTTTCCATAGGGGTTGATTTGAGGCGGTTTGAAGGAACTGGCAGGATGTCCACGCCCACCCCTCTGGGCATACGCGGTGGGGTTCCTGCGCATGCCCAAGGGACTGGGCGCGAAAATCCGTTAAAGAGCTTGCTACAATGCCAATCGATCCAGCGCGTGCGCACTAGATCCCATGGGTGTGAATGCACAGATGACCACTCGAAGATCACCAGTTACAGGTAAGCAACCTGTTTTTATGCAAATATACCAGTTATGCAAATAGAGTTTCTTACACGGGCTTTTTGTTGATCTCTGCCTCTGAATGTTGATGTAGTTTGGCTCTATAATCATGGTTACTGACCACTGGGCTAACGGGTTTATTGTGGTGTAAGCGTTCCTAAGATAGACCCCACGTGTCAAATGCGTGATGTGTTATCCTCACCAGAGGATCTGGAAGGTGCAGAGAAAGCCCTCTCTTCCTACATTCTTTATCCTCCCAGCCTAGTTCTGATACCAGAAGGGAATCGAGCTGGGAGAGAAAGACTGGCACAATAGATTGTGCGGAAGTATAGTGTGTGGGACGGGGAGTTTTCCCCTCACTCACGTTAGAATCAGACCAGCCACACATCAGACATAAATGGGGTAGGTGCCAGTGTTCCCTCTAAGCTGAGTAAGTGTGAGCTAGCTCACAGTTTTTTAGCCTCCAGCTCACAAATTTTTGTCTTCGTTCAGGAAGGATGGCTCCAGAGCAAACTAATTTATGCAGTAGACAAATCACTTGCTCACAACTGTAATGCCAGTAGCTCACAAAGTCGAATTTTTGCTCACAAGACTCCAGAGCTTAGAGGGAGCATTGGTAGGTGCATGATTAAATAAATGTGTGTCTACTGCCATCATGGTTGGTAGTTTTGTCCTTTGTAAAAACAGCATTATGGGGTTCTAAAGGGAAACCAAAAGATTGCTCATAGAGTTGAACGTTGCATTCAAATTCCTGCTTTTCTGCAGCAAACACCCTCACTTCAGGAACCAGAGATGACCCTACAGTCCTGCCACAAGACTATGGTGCCTTCTGGATCCTACCTCCTGCCCTCTCCAATGATTCCAGGTATTCGTCTGGGCTCCTGAAGAAAGATCTAGGGCTCAGGCAAGGATACCACTTATGGGGCCTACTAGCACCCACTCTCCACCATGGCCTTCTAAATACTTAATTGGTAGTAAGGTCAGGATAAGTTCCCCACACCCATGCACCAAACCAGTGCAGTAGTTCTTCAGCCAATGCATAAATAACTTATGGGACTCACTACCATAAGGTGGGAGCTGCGGTGGCTCAAGCGGTTAAGACGCTGAACTGCAGGCTGTGGAAGGTCGGTAGTTCAGCAGTTCGAGACCTGAGTGTGCCGCATGACGGAGTGAGCTCCTGTCTCTAGTTCCAGCTCCTGCCAACCTAGCAGTTCGAAAGCAAGAAATTGCAAGTAGATAAATAGGTACCACTTCAGTGGGAAGGTAACAGCGTTCCGTGCGCCTTGGTGTTTAGTCATGCCGGCCACATGACCACGGAAATGTCTTCGGACAGCGCTGGCTCTTCGGCTTTGAAACTGAGATGAGCACCGCAACCCTAGAGTTGGATTTGACTGGCTTTCAAGCAAGGGAACCTTTACCTTTTTACCATAAGATGAAGAAAAAGAGGAGGAGATTGGATTTATACCCCACCCTTCACTACCCAAAGGAGTCTTAGAGCAGCTTACAATCCATTTCCCTTCCCCTCCCCACAACAGACACCTTGTGAGGTAGGTGGGGCTGAGAGAGCTCTTTTGAGAACTGCCCTTGAGAGAACAGCTCTGAGAAAACTAGTGACTGACCCAAGGTCACACCAACAGCTGCATGTGGAGGAGTGGGGCATCAAACCCGGTTCTCCCAGGTTAGAGTTCCATGCTCCTAACCACTACACCAAACCAATGTGGCCACTAATACATACAGCTTTAGAAAAGGATTAAACGCATTCAAGGGTCAAGGTTGGTGGCTCTTTTCAGAGCTAATAGTTATGCTAGCTAACATCCGGGTGCAGCTCTGAGTCACAGATGAGCTATTGCCGTTATGCCCCGTTTTCACGTTTTCAGAAGCATCTGGCTGGTCACTGGTGGGAACAGAAAGCTGGGTTTAACAGCACCTGGGATTTCGTCCAAGCAAGCCACTTGCCATTTATTGATTTATTTTGTCCAAGTATTTCTATCCCATCATTTAGTACAAAAATATTTGGGGTGGTTTCCAAACTGTATAAAATGTTAATTACTTAAACGGTGACCAATACAATACAATTTAAACCACAGAGCAGAGCCTCGGAAGATTATCTAAGAATGCAGGCAGGCCCTTTCCTGATACTGGAGATACTATCCAATAGATGCCCACTGTCAGGACCCACAGTCAGACAACTCAGCACACGCTTCCAAGAAGGTTATACTTTATTGTCAGTACTATGGTTGCAGGAACATGGTCAATGTTAGGAATAGCTAGCACAGAACAAGCATATAGAGATATTGCGGATTTGAATGGTTCCCCACCACCACCTGTGGGCCAATCGGCCTAGGAATGAATGCTGGGAAACGAAAGTAGTCTCACAGTTAATTAATGTGGAGACACTACACAGGCATGAATACAAGGTCAGAGATAACACGGGAAGAGGCAAGGGAAAAGGAATGTGGCACCAACTTGCACGCAGGTCATGCAGGCGAACCTTAGGCTATAAACAATATGGCAGCAGAGCTGACACCCACCTCACAGATACTGTCCAGTAGGTGCCATGCCATTTACAAATACAATTGATGTCCCTGATTGGAGGGTGTGGTGCCTGGGCTATTGCCTCTTCCTGGTGATTAAATACCGTGGTTTGAAGTGCTGACAAAGCATCACATTCCTGCAGCCAAGGTACTTCTTTTGGAAAAAAAGGCATTTGGAAAGTATCGCTCAGTTATTGTGTGTTAATCCCGCTGCTGCCACATTTACCTTTCAAAAACAATCAATGCTAACAGGGGTTTTCTTTGGCAGGGGGTTGGATACACAATGGGGTATCTGCAAGGTACGATGAAGCAAGTCGGTGTTCCACAACTAATTTTGTTTTGATGTGTAGTTCACCTGCCACCCAGCAGACAGGAGGCCGTACAGAGCTGCTGCCTGGAGCCAAAAGGATGCAGGGGCTGAGGGTCACCGTTGGGACCCAGACGGAGGAGTCGGCTGTGCTGGTGCTGAGACAAGGACAAAGCCTGATCAACGGGCATGATAGGGGAGAGCCGGTCCAACTCCCCACTGACATGGGGGAAAGAGACTGCATTGGTGGCCTGGCTAGCGGCGGTCATCCCAACCCGATTAAAAACTCCTTTGGAATACAAGGTGCTGGTGTGGACCTGGGCTTTGCCTTGGAAGGGCAGAGTCTTCGGAAGGAACTCCAGACCCAAGGAGACAGTTGCTTCATCCCCGATGCTTGCTTCGATGAAGTTGAAGACGTCGGAGGGTCTCCCTCTGAAGACAGCATTGACAAAGTGCCAAGCGTGGGGCAGTCCCAACCCTCGGCGCAGCCACTGGGGCAGGAGATGACAACATTCCCCGGGTCTCCGTCGGAAGGGAGCAGCACCCCCGCCTCCCCGGTGCCAGCTGTTCAGAGCTTGATGGCCAACAAGAAAGAACTGTGAGTTTGCTGACAGGGAGAAGGAGAAGTGGGAGACGGGGCTGGGCGAAGAAGTATTTATTAAACATAAAGCCAGCTCTCAGTGTTCTCTGGCTTGGGGGCACTGATCCGAGCCACCCATGTTTATCCTCAGCATTACTGGAATGGCAGCTGCCCCCAGACGGTTCATTAGGAGGACCACAGAGCAGAAAGGTTTTCCAGAAGCGGGGATTCTACAGGGCTGGTTCCAGGTTTTGAGTGGCCCCAGGCAGGGAGTTCTACCCGCTACCAGGCTCCCACACATGCCCTCCTTCCCTTCCTTCCACCTGCATGCCTCCCACCCGCCTGTGTGTCCTCCCGATTGCGAGCTTTCCCACTGCCTGTGCTCACTGCTGCCTGCAGCCCTTTCCCCAGTGAGCGGTGAGTGTATCTGGGAGCACCGTGGAGCACTTGCGAATAAGTGAGTTGGGAGGAGGGGGTCAGCAGCAGTGAGCACTGGCAGCTGGCCCAACCTCAGGGTATGTTGATGCCAGCCCTGGCTGGGAATATGGTGCGTCTGGATTCCTTTGCTGTTCTGAACAGTGTGTGGCGTTTCACGTTAAGCAAGGCAGGGGAGTGGAATTCTTGAACTCTCTTCCTGGATCCAGGATCAAGGTGGCCGTTTCAGATTTGGAATGTGGGACTCAAGACTCCTAGGGTTTCTTTAAATCATATCTAAGTCTGGGTGAGGGAATGAGGTTTGGCAGGTCTGAGCAGAAAGGCAGGATTCCTGGATTCTGTGCCTGGCCCTTGGTAAAGTCTAGAGGATGGGTGCCAGGACTTATGAGATCGAACCATATCCAGGAAGGGAATTAGGGGGCGGTGGTTTAGAGGCTGGCACCAGGCTGGATTCTTGGGTTTTATACTTGGGTGGGAGCCAAAACTCTTTGGTTCAGCTGCCAGCTCTGGCCCATTACACATGTGCATCTTACTGCAGATTTTCAGAGCTGTAAGCCTTTAATCTTGATTTTGGATTCTGTGTCCACCTTACACACCATTATTTTTCCTGTGGTGTATTTATTCGGCAGCCACAATTTTAAAAACCCACTTTTCTAAATCAGGGTGTGAAAAGTACGCAGACGGAGAGTGATTTCAGCAAAGAGTACTTTATTCGATCAGGAACAAGACGACCTTGGTCGGCTCGCAGGCCGGCTTATATTACCAGTGAAACCGCCACCCAAAACACACCCACTTCCCAATAGGTTATTTACATTGGCCAAGAGTTCCATAGGCTCTCGGCCGGGAACCTAGCCCCCTGATTGGAGCGGGCTAGGATCCGCATTGTCCATTGTCTCGTTGAGCGAAGCTCGACGTTTGTGCTTGACCACGTGGAGCCCCAGCTGGCCACGCGGTCTGAACTGGGTACATTACAGGGTGGAACATCACTTGTGACGTGTGGGAGGTGGTGTCCAAAGTTTACGCACTTGCCCTATTGCAGCTGCACAGTAGCGTCCAGCAAGTGCCTTCCATTTAAATCCTCATGGTCCAGGTTTTGTGCATCCATTTTAGTGTTAGTTCTTGTAATGAAAGGGAACAGGAAGGAAGGCAGGTAAAGGGGGAAGGGAACCGATGTTGAAACTGACAATACTTTTTTTGGAACTGACAAGCAGTTGCCCCTTGTTTTCCATATTGCAGAGCACTAGGGGATTCTCTGCTGTGTTACCAGCCACTGTGAAAAATGGGAAAGAGTCACCATAATATGGGGGAACATGTTGAGTGTACAGAATGCATGGTAGAACCCACTGATACTGGCACTGCAAGCTGTCATTGTTGGCAACATGTGTGTGTGTGTGCGCGCATATGCCTGTGCAGAGTCGGCTGAAACTCCACCAGGCTTTGCGCAGGGCTGCAATTTGTATGGAGGAGAAGTCCTCTGGCAGAAGCTCTGGAGAGCTCTGGAGAGCTTTTTTACTAAATTGAAAAAAGGGAGTATTTTTGTTGATGCCCTGATGCAGCATCAATGTTGATGCCCTGATGTAGCGCTGATTTCCTGTCCTTCCTTGCAAATTTGCATGGTTTTCTCTTTATGATCCTCTGATTTGATCCTACACACTGGTCATGATCTTGGCAGTTTTTTAAAGCCTGTCCTGTGTACATTTGCACTCTGTCCTCCAAACAGATCAATCCCAAACGATTCTTAAGTTCGGCAGTTTGCAGAAGGTCCATGTGGCTCAGCCACCATTTTAACGTTAGGCTTCTAGAGACTGCCAAAATGCCCCCCTGCAACTTTGATCACTAAAGCATTAAAGGGAAAAAATATTTTCAAAGCTTCAGCCTTCCCTTCCTTCTTCCCATCTCTCTCTTTACATCTCACGTCAATTTCATTCTGCACTGATGATCTTTATTTTGTTTCCATGTAGCACTGAAATCCTTTTTTTTTTTTGCACTGGGGATGCTGCTGTTTGCCTCCTCTCTGATCCCCCTTTCAAGTCAATACCAGCAGGGAACTAAACCTTGCACAGCTCCTTGTAAACTTTCCCCCGTCGTTTAAATTTTTTAATTCAGCAATCCGAGACTAGCGATAGTCTCATATCGCTAGACTCATGCCGCTTGTAAAAAACAATTAAAATTTTAAAATGAGAGGAAAATGGAGCTTGTACACTGATAAAGGGGGGGGGAGGATGACAGAAGGTGCCGAGTGGGCGGAACAACCTCAATGTGGGTGGGGGAGTGACCTTTGAGGGGCGGCAAAAAGGTGGGGGTGGGGGAACCCGAGGTAATCTGAATGCTTTTGAATTACCTTTGGCTTGGAAGCAAAACAAGGGGGAAATCGGCACAAAATCACTCTCAGAAAACCTGGGGAAACAGCGACCAGAAAGTAAATTGAGTTCTGAAGGGAGGGAAATCAATGCAGAATGACAAAGAAAACCCAATGGGCATGCACAGGGAAAGTGAGATAAAACGCTCATGCATGATAGGCCTCTGTGGTCAGTTTAGTGGTCCAGAGCAGGACTTAACTGAGAGGCAGCCTCCCCACCACCTCCCTAGTTTTTATTGCATATCTGGGAAGTAAATGTGGATCTCGCGTGGACAACACTGGTGAGGACCAGGACTTCTGGGCTGTTATGTATGGAATGGAATGTTGTATGTATCGAGCTTATTTATTTATTTATATTTATTTCATTCAACTTGCTATACCGCCCTGACCCCTAGGGGTCTCTTGGGTCCTGATACAAGGTATTGTAAACCGACCTATCAGAACAAGGGAAGTTCTGGAGGGAAGCAAAGTGATTGGTCTTTATGTACAGTATCTGATTGGATGTTATCTGACATGTGGGCGTGGCTTGCCAAGCCCGGACTGTTTCGAAAAGAGCCTGTTGCTCTGTTGTTTGTCTCGTTCTGGTTCTTCTGATTTCGTTTCAATAAAGCTGTTATCACTGTTCACCTGCTGCCTCGAGTCTCGTATCTAATATGGGCCATTCGCTGCCCTGTGCCCCAGCCCTCCCTCATTTCCTTAGTTCCTTTCCTGCCTCATCTTTCTCCCACTTCTTTCTTGGCCGAATCGAGGGTTTAGTAAAACCAGTCTATATATGCAGCTTTGGGCAGAGCGTAGCACCCACACTGCAGTCCAGAAATTTTCTTTGAGTACCAGGAAGCAGTCCCTGAGAACAAGGGGGTTGGTTGTTACTTCTTGGAGGAAGGGAGAGCAGGGAAGGACTCGAGCCGCTCCATCCCCATTGCTTAAAACAACTTGGGGAGAAAAAGTGCAAAAATTACATGTGGCATCCAAAACAGGAACTCCAGGCCTGTAATTTGGCCTGAAAAAGCCACTATGTGTATGGGGACAATCTGGATCGCGGCAGCAGTGTTGGAGAAGGGGGAGTAATTCTTTTCCTCCTCCATCGTCTGCTGTTTCCCCATTTGGAAATGCCCCCCTTCCCAGGTAGAAGAAACTCATATTGTGCTTATCCCCCCCCCCTTCAGTTTGGGAAATGACACAGTGAGAATTGTTACCCTCACACAGATACGTGCATGAAACTGCCTTGAGTGAGACCACTGGGTCTGTCAAGGGCAGTCCTGTCTCCTCAGACAGGCAGTAGATCTCCAAGGTCTCAAGCAGAGGTCTTTCACATCACCTCATATTTGATATTTTTAGTTGGAGAAGCCAGGATTTGAACCTAGGACCTTCTGTATGCAAAGCAGATTCTTTACCACTGAGCCACAGTCCATCTGGGGTGGAGAGGGGAGGTTAAAACAACCATAAGAACATAAGAGAAGCCATGTTGAATCAGGCCAATGGCCCATCCAGTCCAACACTGTGTAACACAGTGGCCAAAAACTAGGTGCCATCAGGAGGTCCACCAGCAGGGCCAGAACTCCAGAAACTCTCCCACTGTTGCCCCCCAAGCACCAAGAAGACAGAGCATCACTGGCCCAGACAGAGTGTTCCATCTATACCTTGTGGCTAATAGCCACTGATGGACCTCTGCTTGATATGTTTATCTAATCCCGTCTTGAAGCTGTCTAGGCTTGTAGCCGCCGCCACTTCTTGTGGCAGTGAATTCCATGCGTTACTCTTGGGGTGAAGAAGTACTTTCTTTTATCTATTCTAAACCTACCGCTCATTAATTTCATTGAGTGCCCACAAGTTTTTGTATTGTGAGAAAGGGAGAAAAGTACTTCTTTCTCTACCTGCTCTGTCCCATGCATAATTTTGTAAACCTCTATCATGTCACCCCTCTGTCATTGTTTCTCCAAGCTAAAGAGCTGTAACCTCTTTAACCTTTCTTCATTTTAGTTGCCTTTTTCTGCACTATTTCAAATGCTATAATATCTTTTTTGAGGTGTGATGACCAGAACTGTACATAGTATTCCAAATGAGGGCACACCATTGATTTATTCACAGACATTTTGATACTGGCTGATTTGTTTTCAGTCCTCTTCCTAACAACCCCCAGCATAGCATTTGCCTTTTTTATTGCCATTGCACACTGAGTTGACATTAGGGAATGCTTATTAAATTTGCAATGGTACTAAATTGGAAGGGGTAGCAAATACAGTAGAAGACAGATGATCTTGACGGGCTGGAAAACTGGGCTAAAAGAGATAAAACTAATTTTAACAGGGATAAATGTAAAGTTCTACCTTTAGGTAGGAAAAATCAAATGCATAGTTATGTGATGGGGGAGAATTGTCTTGGCAGTAGTATGTGTGAAAAGGATCTAGGGGTCTTAGTAGACCATTCACTGAACATGAGACAGCAATGTGATGTTGTAGCTAAAAAGACAAATGCAATTTTGGGCTGTGTCAACAGAAGTATAGTGTCCAGATCATGCAAAGTGATGGTATCGCTTTACTCTGCTCTGGTTAGACCTCACCTAGAGTATTGTGTTCACTTTTGGGCACCATAATTTAAGAAGGATATAGACAAGCTGGAACGTGTCCAGAGGAGGGCAACAAAGATGGTGAGGGGTCTGGAGACCAAGTCCTGTGAGGAAAGGCTGGGTATGTTTAGCCTGGAGAGGACTGAGAGGTGATATGATAACCATCTTCAAGTACTTGAAGGGCTGTCATATAGAGGATGGTGCGGAGTTGTTTTCTGTTGTCCCAGAAAGTCGGACCAGAACCAGTGGGCTGAAATTAAATCAGAAGAGTTTTCAGAAACATTAGGAAGAACTTCCTGACAATTAGAGCAGTTCCTCAGTGGAATAGGCTCCCTCGGGAAGGTGGTGGGCTCTCCTACTTTTTTTGGACAGCAATGCTGATTCTGTGGACTTAGGCAGATCATGAGAAGGGAAGGCATGAAGGGTTGCATCAGTGCTTAGTTCTTGTGGTCCTTTCTAACATGCCCAGGGAAATGCTGATTGCCACGTTGGGGTCAGGAAGCAACTTTTCTCCAAGCCAGTTTGGCCAGGGATCCTGGGGTTTTTT